CTGCCCGGCCCCCTGCTGCCCACCCTTGCCCTGCCCCCCACTGCCCACCACTGCCCTGCCTTCTGCTCTGGAGGTGGGAAGAGTCCCTCCCTTGAGAACTGCCCCTGCAGCCACTGCCAGGTGCCTGGAACTGCAGCCCTGGAGTGGACGTGGTGACCCCCTGGGGACCACACTGCTCCCTGGGGAGCCCAGCTGCCAGTGCTGGTCAGGTAGCCGCAGCCCAGGTCTCCCCATCACACCACCCAAGTCGCTGGGCAGACCCCAGCTCTTCCCACACACCCGTGGGGAAGGTAGCCGCGCCCCAGCAGACAGCTCAGATCTCAGGGGTCAGGCCCAGCACCTTCTCCGGAGCTAGGGTTGGGTTCCATGGAGCCCAGAGTCTTGCCCTAAAGACCCCATGAGACTGGAAATAGGATGCCTCCTCCAGCTCCCCATCCCACATTTTCCTCAGAGATCAGGTCAGGGCCCATCCACCTCTGCCCTCAGTGTGAGGACCAGAACCCAGCTAGATGTCCTACTGACCAGCCAGTCACCTCCCTTGGTCTGGGTGCCCTACCTCTTGTGATGTGCTCCATGGTCAACTTGATGCTGACAGCCTCCTCGCCCCAGCACTGTGACTCTTCTAAGTCTCTGCTCGTGTCTGCTCAGTCAGGCCTGCCCCTGAGGACCTAGGGTCAGAGGTCAGGCCTCGCCCTCCTGGCCTGTTGGATCCTGGTGTGGCTGTGGTCCCCACTGGTCCTGCGCCTGTCGGTCCTCCCTCCCAGCACTGTGCACGCTCGTCCCAGGCCTCTGTTCTTGGTGTCACTGACCACATGTCGCAGAGGCTCAGTGCCCAGCTCAGCATTCCCTGCAGGGGCGAGACGCGGCTGCGCCTGGGGAGTGTCTGACCGTCCCTCAGAGCCGACTCCGGGGGACGGGGACGGGTCCGGGCTGTGTCTCCTCTCCATACTGGACAGTGCTCCTGCGCAGGGCTCGCCAGGCGAGGCTTGGCACTCTCCCTGACAGGCCATGGTGGCTGGCCAGCTCTGGGCTCGGCCATGCCTCCTCTTCCCGCCCTGGCCGGCTGTGGCCTCGCTGCGGCTCTGCCCACAGACGCAGCCCAAGTGCGCCCTGTCCAAACGCGTCCGCGTCGTTCACCCCATCTTCCTGCCTCCCCGCGTCTCGCCCCGGGCTGTCCCCAGGTCTGCCTGTGGAGCCTGGGTGCCCGCCTGGCCCCTCGGCCAGATCCTGAGGGATGCTGAGCCCCTCAGGGGCCAGTCATTCCGTCCCTCTCCTGCGCACCCCCGTCCGGCTTCCTCCTGCCCCCGGGGTGCTGGGCGAGCTGCTCCGCTACCCTGAAGCTCTGCTTTCCAACCCCAAGGGCCAGCCTCAGTCGGCTGGGGAGACCCTCGTCCCTCTGGGTGTCACAGTGGCTGAGGTCCACTCTGGCCTTCAGATCCCAAGGCCCCAGCCAAGGCTGAGGGCCAGACCAGCACTGCTGCCGTACAGGGCCAAAGTGGGACCCGCCCGGGACACCAGGGTCCTCGTGGCAACCCCTGCAGCCGTCCAGGCTCAGAGGGGTAGGAGCATGGGGTCAGTGAGCCCCTTGGCCCAGCACAGTGCCCGGCAGAGGCTGCAGCAAGCAGGAAGAGCCTCCCTCCACCTCCAGGGAGAGGACCAGCAGCACGGCGGCCGTCCCAGGACAGCGGTCACTTGTCCCTCCTCCGGTTCCTTGGTCCTCCCCGGTCTCCTCCCTCTCCTCTCCCTCTGGTCCTCCGTCCCCACCACGAGGGCTTGCTCTGACTGTCCAGACCGCTCCCATCTTTCCCACCACCCCCTGCACCTGGCGCCACCCTGCTCAGTCCCCTGGCCCCCAGTGCCCGTCCGCCAGGTGCAGGTGACAGAGGAGGGACGTGACCCCCCTGCCTGGTCACAGGGTGCCAGCGCTCCTGCCGGCGCCCTCGTCTGGCGGCCGAGGCTTGCCCCTGCGCCTGCTCCTCCGCAGGCCCCCTGCCCTGCCCCCCGCCAGGGTCTTCCGGGTCCCCTCCGGCCTGGCAGGACATGTCCTCCGTGGAGACCCTCAGGCTCCCAGGCCAGGCTCCCGCCACCCCCCTCCCGGTGCCACCTCCTGACTTCCTGCTGTCCCAGGCAGCAGCCACCCAGGGCCACACTCCTGCCCTGGGGTGGCAGGGGGACACCCAGCGCCCTGTACAGGGTCAACCAGGAGCACCTGGGCCAGCCTGAAGACCCCTCTCCCTGGGCCTGCCCCTGCAGGGCCACTGAGGGTTCTGACTCCCGGAGCGCCCACCTGTCGCCTGCCTGCCCACCTGCCCTCTGAAGGCCTCTGAGGTCAGCCCCGGCCACCATCCTCTGCTGAGCCGCTGAGTTCCGCACACGTCCCTGGGGGCCGTGCCCCTCCAACCCCACGGAGGGTCCCAGGGGCCGCAGGGCCTCCCGGGGCTCCGGCAGCCAAAAGCAGGCAGGTGAGTCCCAGAGGCCCGGGCGCCCCGGCTGCTCGCTGCCCGGGCTGCCCAGCTCTGATTTGCCGGCTGGGACCGGAATCGGAATCGCAGCCTTCTGGGTTCTGGCCCTGACACCCTGCCCAGGGGCTGGGCCACTTGGTCCCTGTACCCCCTGTGGCTGGCTCCGCCGGGCTCCGGGCAGGATGGGCTCTGGCCAACAGACCACCCGGCCGGAGCCGGTGCCGCCCACCAGACGCCGGGCCCTGCCAGGGCGGGGGCTACCCCACCCTCGGGATCGCGGCCTTGGATGGGCCCGGCGGCCACGCCCCTTTGGACACTGTGGTTTGGAGCCTGCCTTCCCCACCCCGGTGGGGGCCAGCCCAGCAGGCTGCCGGCCCTATCCCCTGCACGACTGGCCACACAGGTCCCCAGAGGCCCTCGGACCAGGGTGCCCAGAGCCCTGGGGGGATCCCTGGATGCAGAAGACCCTAGCCTCTGTGGGTGGACATGTGCCCCAGACCCAGGGGACAGAGGGGCTCATGCCTCCAGGAGCCCAGGCTGGAAGGCAGCCAGGGGCAGGGGAGCCCGGGTGCCCGACAGGGGTATTGGCCACGGAGGGCCTGGCCTGGCCCCTCACCAGGCCAGCCCCCGAGGGCCGCAGGACCAGGGTGACCCAGGACCGCAGGTCTCTGACCACCCTGACACGATCCTGGCCTTGGGTGGGCCTGGGAGGGACGGGACTCCACCAGGGCCAGGTAGGAGGGTGCTGGGGTGTGGGCAGATTGCCCAAGCGGGACCCGACCCTCTCCGCTTGAAGCCTTGTGTGGGCTGAGGCCGGGGACCGAAGTCTGGGTGGCCACCGGCCCCACAAGCCCCACTCACACCCTGACGCAGACAAGGAGAGCAGGTGGGTCGGGAGGACACATCTTCCCGCTGACCCACGGCGTCCTTTTTAATGAGCTTAAACTGAATTCAGTTTACACCTGGGCCACGGCTGGTGCCCAGCGTGCCCAGCAGAGCCCTCGAGATCTTGTCCCAGAGAAGACAGGCAAGGCCTGCCCCCGGCCGGTGAGAGAGCTCGGGAGTCCCTGGGGAGGACCTGGGGTGACGAGGGTCTTTGTGGGAGGCAGGCTTACTGGTCTCTGCTGGCTGTCCCTGGGTGAATCACTTAACCTCTCTGAGCCTGGTTTTTCATTTAACAGGGACGAGGCAGGGCCTGCCTGCCAGGGCTTGGGGAAGTAAAAACGGTCAGCTGTGAACTCTGGCCATAGGTGTGGGGGGGCTCGCTGTCCTGGGTGGCAGCAGATGTGAGTGCCTGGGGGTGACCCTGGCCCTCCACAGGCGCAGGGTCCTCGAGGGTGGCGGGGGGCTGACACCCACTCCTCACTGCTGAAAGCTGTGTCCCCGGCTCTCCCTGCTCCCCCAGAGCCCAGCTCCCCGGGGACAGTTCCCTCTCCCCTGCCCCTGCCCGCGGCTCACAGGACCTGGCCTCGGGGCCCCTCCCACCGTCTCCTGCCGGGTCCGACCCTGCCAGCTCCATGGCCTCTGAACGCTCTTGGTCAGCGGGCAGCAGCCCGGCCCTGGTGTGGGGGCAGTGGCCTCAGTTTCCCTGGTGATTAAGAGGTGCTGGGGATGGATGCCAGGCGCTTTCCAAGCCCCTGTCACAGCTCTCTGGGGACATGCCGGCCCTGGGCACTGCATTCCTGCTGGGTGGGCGGGGGGGTCTGGACTGAGACTGGCAGCCCTGCCTCGGGGCCCTGGCAGGCTGGAGCTGCGTCTGGGGACAGGTGTGAAGAGCCAGCCAGCTCCCAGGCCACTCGGACTGCACCACCCCCCGCCACACACCTGAGCCTCTGCTCCACCGCTCCACCACCCAGAGCCAGGACCCGCGGGCAGGGGGTGGCCGGGTGCCAGAGGCCGGGTGCTCCCCGTGAGCGGGGAAGGGGGCCAGGGAGCGGATCTGCTTGGCTGGCCGAGGAGGACAGCCCCCACCCGCCTCAGGAGGACCACAGGGACTTCCTGGAGGAGCCGGCATTGCAGGGGGTCTGCAGAAGACCCCTGAGAAGGAGGAAGGACGCCGCAGGCGGCCCAGAGCGTGGCAGTGAGCAGCTAGCCACCGAGAGTGGCAGCTCTGACCGGCTCCGCAGGGCCGGGCAGGCCTCGCGCTCTGCCGCCAGCTCTGGCCACGACCCTCCGAGCAGCAGCTCCCAGGCCACACTTCACAGAGGACGAGACGCAGCCTGAGAGAGGGCTGTGCGCTGCCCCCGGCCTGGTGTCCGTGCCAGGGCTCCAAGGCCAGGTGCTCATGGGCCTCCCACGTGGGGCTGAAGAGCCAGGGTCAGCCAGTGTGTGGCGGCAAGTGAGGGTCAAGTGAGGGTGACCGTCCCCCGGGCCCACAGTTCAGCGCGGGGCCTGGAGGCTGCTGCGGTCCGCCCCCTGAGGGCAGGGGAAGGTCCGCGAAGGGTGCACAGGCCACCAGGGCCCAGGCAGGAGATGACCTCGAGCTGCGTCGGCGGCACGTGCACCGGCCCTGCAGGGGGGGAGCTAGGCCCGGCCACCGGCCCCAGCCTGGGCGCCACGGCACAGGCACCTGCCCTGGCCAGGAGGGACCTACCTCAAGAGCGTCTCCAGGCCCCGCGTGCTAGACTTCCTCCTGAGGAGCACCGAGCGGCTCATGCTGGCCCGGCCGCCAGGCGACCTGGCCTGACCCCGGCCCTGGGGACACCACCGCCTGCTTCAAAGGCTCCCGTCCCCAGTGCTGGCGCCTGCGGCCTGCTGCTGCTCTGCCTCCTGGCCTTCCTCTCCCCTCCTTCTCCCTCTCCTCCCTCTCCTCTCCTCTCTCCCCTCTCTCTGCTCCCCCTGCCCCTCCTTCTCTCCCCTGTCCCTGTCCCTCTCTCTGCCTGTCCTGGTCCCTCTGGCCCGGGGCTGGGGGTCCTGGGCTGGCTCCCAGCTGTCGGCTGAGGCCCGTCCACTGTGCCTGGGTCCCTCCTCTGTGGGTCCCGCTCCCCTCTCCTCCTCAGGAGGCTTCACAGCTGCTTCCCTTTTGTCCCCCAAGCCCCTTCTCCGCCCCCCTGGTCTCCTCCACCTCCACCTCCTCCTCCTTCCCAGACTAGTAAAAATGTCAGAGAGAACCCTCCCAGCCCCGCAGCAGGGGCTCAGCCGGACCTCGGCGGCCGCTGATGGGCAGCACTACTGCCCCCTCCCTCCCTTCGCCGCCTCCCTGGGCCTCTCCCCGGGCTCCCTGGGCAGCTGCCGCTGTCCCCCACTCCTCTGCCCACCGCTCCCTCTGGGCGCCGGACACCCTGCCACCCCATGTCTCCAGCCATCGCCTCTGCCCTAGCCCTGGCCTGGGCCTCCTGCTGCCCTCCTCTCCTGGCCTGGCGCACTTGACCTGCTCCTGGCCTGGCCAGGCCTGGGCCCTGTCCGCCCCTCGCTGCCCCTCCTGCCCTTGTTCGCCCCTCTCCTCTGGCTCTCCCTCTGGTGTCTCTGTCCCTATCTCAGTCTCCCTCCCTCCTTCCCTCCCCCACCCCTTCCTCTCCCCTCCCTTCCTCGCTCCCTCCCTCTCCCTCCCTCCTTCCCCCTCCCTCTGGGTCTCCATCTTCCCTTTGTTTATTCCCAGCCGTCTGCTTAGCCTCCCCACAGGGGCGGCCGGGCACCCCAGGAACCCTTCTTGGTCCCCAGGTGGGGAGGCCGCTGCTTTCCCCAAGGCCCCGGGACAGCCCTCAGGGCAGGGAGGTGCAGGACGCAGAGACACCAGGCACACAGCGTCTTTGGAGTTGGGAGCCATCGTCCCCAGAAGTGGCCATGGGCACCGGTCAGTACCCTTGCCAGCCAGACCCCCCTTGTCCTGTCCTCTGGCCAAGACCCAGGGACACGCAGCCCAGCCCTTTGTTTTTCTGGTTGGGCTTAGTCTCTGTGACTCACTCAGAGCAGGCTAGTGGCTGAACGGGGCCTGGACTCACATTCATAGGGAATCATCGTGGGCCAGCTCTGGCCCACATCTGGCTCGCCAACACGCACCACCACTGAGAGGCAGATGCCACTGTGTCCACGTCCTGGATGGGAAAACCGAGGCCCGGCCAGGAGCACCGGGTTCCGAGACCACAGAGCCAGGCCCGGCTGAGCCAGGACCTCACCCATCTACCCACTGCCGGACGCCCCACGGCATCTACCCCCAGCTGCCCTCTGTCTCCATGGGCAGAGGACTGGCCTTCTGACATTCCCAGGTAGTGTGACCTCCCCAGTGGGCCAGACAGGCACCTGGGGACTATGGAATGGACCCATCCAAGAGACAAGGGTGCGCATACGGCAGTGAATCACCAGGGGAAAGCAGGCCTACCGCCCTCCACACCCACAGGCTGGGTCTCAGGGCCGGTCCCAGGGGTGAGACTCCCCTCCTCTCCTCCCGCCACCACACAGCAGGGACCAGGGAGTGTCGCGCGCACAACAAAGACAGCTGGCCGGCTGCCCAACCCAGCATCCACAGAGCCACCAAGACCTCAGGATTCTGCTGGAATAAGAGGCAGATGGAGGAGGCCTGGGCCCCAGGTGGAGGCCACACTCAGCACCTCACACCTAGGAACCCGGAAGGTGGGGAAGAAGCACGCCCACCTGCCCCTTGCCTCCTGTGCCTGTCCTGGGAGAGACACCCGGAATGAAAGGTGGCCAAGGCAATTTGGGTTCAAAAGAAGGAAGAATATTCCCACCGAGGAGAGGGCTGCCTCAGGAGGGTGGCCCACCTTCAGAAGTGTCAGTGGTGCCGAGTGGCAAGAGCTGATCTTCAACATGGCAGCCCAGAAAGGCAGTTTTGTGACTAGGATGTGTTGTGATGTGGACAGCGGTGCAGAATATTGATGTCAGCTTCATGATGATTCATCCATCCACCCACCCAGCCATCAATCTCTCCATCCACCAGCCACCTTTCCCTCCATCCCTCTTTCCCTCTTCATCCATCCATCCTTCCTTGTGCTGTCTGTCTTGCTATTGATCATTTATCAGTTCATCAACTCATCAACATACCTATCCATTCACTTATCTACACAAACATGGTACATCCAGCCATCCAGCCTTCTATACCCTTGTCAATCTGTTTCTCTTTACATCTGTCCACTAAGCAGGCATCCATCCATCCCTCCACCCATCCACCCACCTACCCATCCACCCATCCCTCCATCCATTCACCCAC